TTTGTAACACTAACATTGGTAGAAAATAAAATGTTTCAACATTCGTTGACCTCAGAGTATATTCCGTTACTTTTTTATTTGACTCGGACTGCGGACTGAGACTGAAGTATAATGGGAAAAGGGGTAGGTACTCATCCTAGACAGCTCAATACTGAATTCTGATTGGTTTGAAAAAATCGATCTTAGACTGGACGAGTTCGGTTTATTGTCCGTGTGTTTGTGTGTGTAAATGGCGGCCAATCGATCAATAAAGATGCATTCAATGGATGGTCCGATCAGTGGTAGAACTCTAACAGTAACATCTTCATGACACAGGCAATGAGGAATGTGCTAGGAATGTGAACTTCTGCAATCACCTTGTCCAATTCAAAGGTTGTCCAAAGATGAAGATGAGTTATATATATTTGGTTTCCACCGCGGCACACCCGAGCCCAGCACTGCTTTACTTGCATTATTCATTTTGTTTTCAGACACAATGCACAATATCATCACATTGGACACCGGAGCTCTTCTGACAAAATCCAATTTGACTCAGATAGCTCGAGACTATGCACAAACCCTTGAGGGTCGTCCTTCCACACTGTCTGGGATTCGGGAATTCATTTTCGACTTCCGGACAATCGATGAAGACATGGTATGCGAATTGTTACATGCCAATCATCCTCCCTTCCATTTGGTTCAGTTCGTCGTTGTGATTAAGATCGCTGATATTTACGATACATTAATTAACAAATAACTTAGAATAATGATAATTTAACTGATGAGGCTGTTTCCACAAGATAGAAATACAGATTAATGATACGATTAGGGGAAACCGATGCACACAGTTCATCCACATCCTTTCACCTCTACACTGGTTCGAGCCACTCCTGGAATGGATACCCTTTGAAACCTCTGTTATAACGCACCAGACTTTTACTTTCTCTCAGAAAAAAGACTTCTAAAATGGGCCACATATTTCCCCGTCGCATTTCAGATTGTCTTGAATTTGTACAGTATCCCGTCAAGTATTTTTGCGCGTGTACTCATGATAGTTGTCGAATAAGTTGTGTGTGACGGACCTACCGACAGCTGTTTCACCATCGTGGAGACTCTTCAGCACTGTCCCTACAGCGAAACACGGACTGCGAATGGTCGTCTCGAGAGCCCGAGATGATCGTTGTCCACGGGCCACACGGTCGATGACGAAGACGACAATCATCACCACCACCACTACCACCACCACCACCACCAACAACAACAATAACAAATGGAATAACTGGGGCGAATGTTTGCGGGAATTAAACGTGTTATTGGTTCATTTCAGATAAATATACCAACAAAATTAAGTGTCCTGAAGCCAAGAAGAAGATAAAATATCTGTCGGATTTTGAAAAGTAGAAACTTGAAGAGCTTCAGCATAGTTCATGACTAAATGTTTGTATCACACATACAGACACCCACACGCATCTACACACGCACACCAATGACGTGCATTACCATTTCATGCATGTTAGATTTCGTCATCACTGAACACATTTCCGGAGCTCCTGTCCCTGGTTAGGATTCACGCATACAGTATGCAACCGGTAACCGACCCGTTACCTAGACTTTATTACCGGCACGATAGCACCGGGATTGTTTGTATCGGGAGTCACTCAGCCCGACCGGGAAGGCCAATGCCGAATGCGAAAGAATATGTCCACAGTGAGATGTCTCGAATTTGTTCTCGCTGACAGACAAAAATCGCAAGTTGCTCTCTATCCGCTCATATAATCGATGAACGTAATGGTTCATGCTTCTACGGGGACGTAAGGCAGTAATCACTAGATTGGCCAGTTTTTCACTGTTCTAGGACAACAATCGGATGGACGGACGGCAACCGTGCACCACAGGACACATTGATTAGTCGAGGTTCAGTTGCGTAATCACATTTGCATACTAACATGAACGCTTGACCTTCATGATCTGAAACGACTTAGACATATGATACGTATGTCATGAATTAGATTTCCTCCTGAAATTCATCGCTGAGGGAAGTGCGCTTTTTATTTATTGGCTCTTCCTCACGTTAGTCAATGGGGTAGACAATATAAGCTTTTCATCGTGGCTTGTCAACACAAAGACGAACATTTCGAGTTCTAAATCACCAGAGAAAATTACATCATAGCGCTTCTTCTATCGCCAATTACGCAACGATCTCCATAATATCTACTCCACTTTGTAACGACTAGTTGGTTGAGCTGACACTCCTCATTCATTTCATCTTCGGTCTATCCAAACAGAAATCCCTAGACTCCAGTTTTGTTATTGTTCGAGCTCATTTATAGTGCATTTCGATTGCTTGCATGCAATGTTGTGTGTGTGCATAACTTCTGTGCCGAGGAGAAAGACATATTTGAGTCGAAATCATTCAGTGGTTGTTATTCATTTAGTTCATTGGACCCAGGAGCAGCAAAAGAGCATAAGAGAAACAGCCACTGTGCCCCAAAGATAATAAAATGATAATAATAATAATAATAATAAACAATATAAAGGGAGGGAAATATTATTGGAATCCGCCCGGATGTGCTTTGTGCCAAATTTTTAGCGCGACAGGCTCCCTATTCTTCCAAGTACTATGCAGATTGTAAGAGTTGTACTCTAAGCACCTACAAAACAAACGAATTCTCTGGGTCCATAAGACATTCTCTGTGAAGCGGGGACCTTCATTATATTTGGTTTGTTGATATCCGCGTATTCATTATCCATCTTCGGCATGCCTCGAATTGTGGCAGAGAACTCAAAAGTTACGATAATAAAGGTGGTGACCACGAACTGGCTTGCGCACATGACAGCAGCACTTGGTGTTTAAATGGGTAGAATGGGTAGATAGTGTCAATGTCCAAGGATACAAGAGTGACAATTACGAAGCATTCATTTAGCACATCTGACAAAAAGCTGAAACTTAGTAACGATTCTGGATAATTAAATGACTGAGTTTTATACACGGTTTGTTCTTTTCAAGTGGTTCTCATATGATCCCGCACCTTACCAAAGGAGAGCAGTGAGCTGTAAGAAGAATGCGCTTTGTTCATGGCTCGCCGTTGGTGCATGAAACCGCGCAGTTCACTTACCGTTTTCATAATCGTTAAACTTGTCCTGTCACGTGACAATCTTGATTACTGCAATTTAGACCACTCATTTGTTTGGCCGATGAGAGAGAACACCATCGGAATAAAGTCATTTCGGTCTATTTCCTTTCAGTCTTCTATTTTTTTTCATTATATTAACAACAAACTGATCAAATTCTTATCTCATCTGACGAACAGATATTACGCATACACTTGGAAACGATCAAATTTCCGATTGAGGAAGGCCAATGCCGTCATAACATGATTGAAATGTACGGTCGATTTTTTCTGTCGGATACACCAAAAAGTCGGTCGGCTGGCAAATCCTATTCTCGTCTGCAATTGCCTCCGGACAGTCGAGTGATTCGGGCGTGTAAAATGGCCAGTCGAAGTCCCATCCTCTATCGGTTGGGTCGTGCTGTTGTACGTATTGTGGCCACCAGTTCCATGCAGGCGATGCGCGAGGCCGATCAACGTGATGATGTGCCAAAGCACTCGCATTTGCCGACTCCGGAGAATACGGATTTGCCTGAGGTCAAACTGCTAGCGACCGCACTAACTTTGGGTAGGTTGACAAAGAAAGCCTTGTTCTATGGACAGATTGAAGATTTGTCCCAGGCTGGTCATGGAATCAGACCCCGTCTCGTTTTTCGGTCCCGGGGACGACCATTTTCCGAATTCTGCAAAGCAAATCATTAGTTCATGTCTGTCAAAAATGTGTTACGAAATTGTAGAAGTGTGTGTAGTCTAATCAATTAATCGAATCAATCAGTGATGAAATTGGGTAAAACACCGCAATAAACTGATATGTCTTACCGCGATTCTTTGAATGTTATTCCTCACAAAATTGTGTACATGGATGTTTGGGTGTAAACGCATGTCTGGAAATACCGCCTCAGTTCTATCTGTTTATTTAGCTACGAGAACCAAAATACAGCATTTCATTAAGGGAAGTAAACTAGCATACTGAATATCTCTCCGTGATTCGTAAACGATAATGCCGATCAAACGAGAAATCAATCAGGTACTAAGTAGACACACCAAACGAGAAAGAAGGCAAGCAAATAAGCATTTATTCTATCTATCTATCTATCTATCTATCTATCTATCTATCTATCTATCTATCTATCTATCTATCTATCTATTTATCTATCTATCTATCTATCTATCTATCTATCCGTCTATCTATATATTTGTGCAAATTGTACCGTTCATTATAGTAGTGAAGATCAATGTCTTGTATTTTGATCACACACTACTGATAGCTCGGATGGGACCAAAACTCATGCATAAATGCTGCCCTTGCCTTTTGTATAGAACACACTATCTATCTGACTAAATGTATACATTTATATAAATGATTTCATTCTACTTTGAACATGTATCATTTAGTGAACTTGAGCGGTCGTCAACTGGTATATTCGATCATTTAATCAATCCGGAATTCGTATGTTCACAACTCACCACCCAAATTTCTGACTTGAATATATATATATTTATATATATATACATATTGTCAAATAGCTTGTGGTCTACCGTGATATCCCATTCTAAAAATTGTCGATACCACTGTATATCAAATATTGAAGAGAAGAAAATATTACTACCATTAGTATTATAACCGCATCGTATCATTGCACCCCGTAGTTACTCAACAACAACATATTAGTTCCCGAACACGGAATTCATTTTCGCTCCCACACACCCCGTTCCGGAGCTGATCCCCTCCCTTGCTTGCTGCTTTGCTCATGTTTCACCGGGTGTGTTTTTCTTCTCTGGCATTCTGTTCCCCGGCTGTTCTCAGATCTGCTGATTCCTGGCTCAATCCCTGTGTGTATGTCCTTCTATGAGAATGACATTGTCATATGGGTTAGCGAACCGATCCGTAGTTGGGAGTGATTTGGGATTGTTTTTCGCGATATAGATGGTGCGGCACCCGGAAGGCGGTTCCAGATCGGGCTTTCGGTTTCAGATAAGCCTACAAACATGGTTGGGTTTCGTACTAGTTGTACTGTACATATGGATACTGTTCGGTTTCTTTTTCGCATTCAACGAGAACCGCACTCTGTCAATCAGGGAGACGAACAATCCGATGTACATTTTCTGTTGTTATCATGGTGTATCGGGATTTGTCCGAATCATGAACTATCTTTTTTAAAGGGCGAACAGGGTCCATAGTGAATAGCTTTCCCATCCGGTTAGAGAACTGATTGTGAAATTATGTACAGGTATTACTCCAAAACGAACAACGCTCTAACTTTCGCCAAAGTTGTTCCTCCCATCGCTTAGTGTTTCGATACGAACTGAACTCTCTCCCTGCTGATAGAAGTAATACCATACCTTTCCAGAAGAGATTTCAACCCCTTTGACAAAATCAATCGAATAGGCCGTCTACCCCAATTGGTTTTTTTAAACGTTATTTATCTGTGTTTGTGCTTCCGTTAGGAATCATTTGTATGAATGCAAGCACACTACTCGGAACAAGCAGTTCACTGTTTCTTCGGGAGCGGGGGGGGGTCTAATTCCACAGAGTTAGTGGCCATTTGCAGAGTAAATCATCGTCACATCACGTCAATAGGTTAATTGTCATATAGTGCTAATGTGAGAGGATGAATGTTATAAAGTGACCTGTGCGTGACTTGTAATATATCCGGGCTAGAGCCATTGCAAGCTCGCGATGCGTAAGTACTGCTGTTGATTCCCAACAAGGTTGGTGAAGCAGTTTCATGCCGCCTCCGCAGAACGGGCGAGGTTTCAGTGTCACACACAGGATCGCACGCGGGAATATTCAATGACAGTTAACTGTGAACCAATCACTCTGTTGCTGCCTGAAGGATCTAATTAACTCTGTGTCAACTACCTCCAGACCGTCAACAGTGAACAGCTGATCATTTTCTAATCTGGTTGTTCATTACTTGGTGTTTGCTTTTCTTGAATACTCTTATTTGCTTAATATTCCCTATACCGTTGAAGTGGAACCACAAGTACCTAACTCAACTATCAGTACTCGATGACTCGCTGTGAGATCTGGTCTGCTCTCCCATGAATAAAACTTGTGGAAGGGGCCCATATTCTAAATTGAACTTAGTTCTTCGTCATTGTGACTAGGCTAGACTCAATTCCCAACACGAGTCATATGTGGATGGCCAGCTGCATAGATAGCAAGGCTAAGACTTTGGAGGGGAACACCTACAAGAACTGCATGCATTTAGAATGCAATACCTGCATCCAGTCATCTCGTGTTAGAGCATATCTAGGGAGTATTTTGGACTTGTAACTTCCTGCTAGTTGTGTGATTTGTATTTACTTTGGTTTAGCTCGCAACAGTGTACGAAACATTCGAATCTTGTGAACAACAACTATATCCGGTTTCAGGAAAGCTTTTAAACAAACTGGTATCCAGTTTGACAGTCATGGTAGCGTGTTGCGTGAGGAAATCCTTTATGGTACACTCTTATCGATCGCAAAACATAGAACATTCGTACATTAGGATGGCATCTGATCAAGTGGTATGCCATTGTGGTGTTTGTACATTGAAAAAAGGAACTTGAGACGAAGAATCAAAACTAGGGTCAGATGAGGGATGGTGGTATGCGATTTCGACGTACGGAATCTCCCGTATATGGGTGATCGACAGAGTCGTCAATATCATTCAAAACCTATCTGAACTGCCAGCGCGCAACATGACAGTGAACGCCTCGTCTGAACTGACCTTGTGCTCACTCTCAATCTCGTGACACGTTCATTCTTAGCAAATTAGTGATCACCCCTAGCACAAGTATTTGGCGACATTCTTCATTTGCAATCGAGGTCAGTATAGAAATGGGCCTTCTCTCACAACATGCCTCCGCTATCATTTGTGTTGCAGAGTTATCATCTTTGAGAATGTTATTTCGCGTCTTTGTGGATTGATAGAACTATTCAAATTTGTATTTCGATGATGGAAGGTGAGAAAATCAATGAATTTATGATGTATGAAACAGTTGATCTAATTTATTCCCTGTATAGAGAAAAAGAAAACAAAATTGAATTTTTAATCTTGCTTTAGGTGGCTTTTATTACTGTTATTATGGGAATAATGATAACGACGAAAATAAATAAATAAACAAATACAGCAGACGGTTGCTTGATATTGAATTGTGTTCATTGCAACATAACACGACATTTGTAAGCCTCTAGAATCAGATGCCAGAAAAACAAAAGAAGCACTCATTGACTATGCATAACGCAGAGTTGGTATAGACAGAATTTGAATAAAAACAAAACAAGCAAACAGGTCTAAAACGTTCCAGCTCCACCGAATAGCAAACTTCTCTCGTGCACAAATGTGCAGGTCGCATATTTCATGAACTAACATTTCACCAAGACTGGCGGGCAAATGGCTGGCATTTGAGAAATCGCGACACTGATTTTAGGGTGATTTTAAAGCAAACCACGTTAAATGACTGGGTGATATCAGCACAGGAAGATATATGTGGGCGGATTTGATATTGGCCATCAATTGCGCGTGCTCTCATTCAGCTGTAGACGCACATTTGTATAATTGTATAAAACGAAGAAAGAGTTGAAAAGAGTCATTTGAACAAGGTGGTGGACAAGTGATTTTAATTAGGAGTTGAGGTCAAGTAAGATGAAAATATTTGATATGAGGTGAACTGGACCACACGATGTGGTGAATGTGGTGGATGGGTGGAGCGGGAGGGAAAGTCATGTCATGTCATGCTATGGTTGGATCACATATCAAGTGTGTGATCATCACTATCACGGCAACAACAGTTGCGTCGCAAATGTTCTTTGAACACATAATTGCAGTTTCCAGCGTTGAATAATTATCGCTTCTAAGAATCGCAAAGTCCGTGAACTTCGAGACCTCGCAATGACTCGAAAGGCTTTCGGTGCGTCTACCTGGTGACCGGAATTTAACAAATGACGGGCAATCGCACTGTCGATGGTAGTTTTGCTCCGCGAAGTCAAGGTGTTTCGGAATATGTCCACACATTCTGGTTGATGAATGACGTTCTGTCCTACCGCTGACCGCAGGTACATTGAAATGGATAGATGCAGTTAGAGATAATACTAACGTCTGCTCGATCCAGATTAGTGCGTGTGAGACAACGAAACGTCCCGTAGACAATCATTAGTCTTGCGGCATTGTACGTCCTTTCCATGGTGTGTGTTAAAAGTCGAGATACCTTTGTTGTTACATCACCTCCCTCGAAAGGCAGACTGGGTAATAGCATAAAATTATGGGCAACACGCAATGAGAAACAAAACAAGAAATCATTCATTGGCTGGCATAATTTTGTCTAAGTTATCGAATCTGACGATAAAAGTTAGAAGTACTTTGCTCTATGTGCTCTATGTGAGAGCGTCAGCAAGGGGAGTCCTCTGACGCAAGAGCAAGGTGTTTGACGAAGTTCCAACTGAATAAGCAACTGGAATTCAAGACAATCAGAGCCCGATAACACGAAAATGCACTCGCAGGATTTTGACTGACTGAGCAAGAGTCCAAGGTCTACTGAAAAATATACACCTGAACAAGGTTATGAGAAAGACTATCAAGAC